ATAACACGAAAATTATATGCAAAAATTCTGCACTACGCAGGGGGAAAATTCAATGGAGTTACAGACGTTTTACGTGAAGTGGCGTAATACCGCATGTGTAAAACGCGATATGAAGTGAATTGAAAACACTTCGTACTTAAAACACATCACGTGTTATTCACTGCTCACATGCGTTCTTGCAAAGTAGAATGTGAAATATGTTTTTTCAACTTGTTTTTTTTTCATATCACGAGTGAGACTTAATACAATATTTTCGATAACACAGTTTTATGGTTAAAGATTAATCCCCTTAATTTGCATCGATGCGAGCCCAACTAAACCGTCTTGTCAGCGATAGACTTCACTCAGCGTTAGAATCACTCAGAGATCCCGGGTTCAATCCCACCATACGGCACTTTTCACCTCCCCCTCCCAGTGTGGGAAAATATGCACATCGTCAACTACATTGGTTGGCGACACTATATTAAAATTCCGGGTAATTTTTATGAGATGCTCATTGGTTTCTGCGCACTTCTACCTGTGAATTCGGGTGAATTTTCTCAACATAGGCTCAGCTGAGAAAAGCGAAGATATACTCCTGGCGAATCTCGAGCACCGAATTCGCCACATACATTTTAGTTTGGAAGTAGTCCAAGTTGGTGTTGATTGTCATTTCCTTCTCCTGCTCTACCTTCAGACGGTCCATCAACCATGCATATCTTAGATTTGCCTGAAAACTTCACAAAGTAGGAAGTCTTCATATGCTGTTGATGTACTTGACAACAAGTGGGGAAGTCGTAATTACGTAATTATGTAAGAGAATTATGTATTTGCTTTTTTTTGAATATTCACGGATAACCCAGAAAGAAAAGTTACGCTAACTGATCGATGCTATACAGCTGTGACACAGTTAATGTCCCCTTAGCACTACAGTGTGAAGCAAACAGTTATGCATATCTAGATTTCCTCCAATTTGAGAGTATGAGTATAGACTACGGAACCACTCTAAAACGTTGGTATCAGTAGTAGCTCATACGTAGTTCGTAAACATAGTTATAAGTTGTAACGTATTCCGATACGTTCTACTCCATTGTACGTCCGCTCTTGGACAAGGTTATCTCTGCTCACTTGTTGTGTACTGAGTTCTATTATTAGGAGCTTACTATCCCTACATAATTTGGTGTCAATCGATTTACATCGTTATCAAAGATGATTTTCGAACTTCCTAATATGACTTTGCATAACGGTTTGGTTCACCACTGTATATATACATTTTCAAAACAAATGACTTGTTTCTTACGACCAACGAGAATCCAAAATATTGAGAAATTAAAAAAACTTGCATACCAAGATTTCCTCAAAAATCAACTTCCCACCTTTCCAGCCCTCTCCGCACGTCTCTGGCATTCTTTTACTTTTTCTTCTTTTTTCGCTCCACAGAGAACTCTAACAAATAATCGATAATAATGGAGTTTCACCACCCTAGTGATATGTAAAACACTAGTGAAAAATATATATCACGACTATCGCGTTTTTCACAGAGTATTACGCCACTTCACGTGAAACGGGTAAAACAACAAAAACAACAACAACAACAACAACAACAACAACAACAACAACAACAAAAGCAACAACAAGAACAACAATTACTCACAGTAAATGCCCCGCAGCTGTTGACTTCCCAGATTTATGGTTTCCCATGAAAGCCACTCCCATCGGAATACCTTGCACCCCGTCAAAAGTCATGGAAAACAAGAATTATCCAAAATCGCCTCCTGCATAATAAAAAAATCAACTCAAAATCTAATCATATATAATGGAGTTTCACGACCCGTTTTACGTGAAGTGGCGTAAAACTCAGTGAAAAACGCGATATTCGCGGTGATATGCAGTAGTCGTGAAATATATTTTTCACTAGTGTTTTTCATA